GTCCGCCGACGCCGCCTTCGAGAGCTGGCGCTGCGCCCGGTTGGACTGCGACGAGCGGTCGGCCTTGAAGCGCGAAACCTTGGGCCTGTCGCCCGCCGCATCGGCAGTGTTGCCCTGGTACTCTTGGTCCTCGACGGTGGCATCGAGCGGCACAATCTAGAGGCGTGGTCGTGAAGGGCAAGGCAAGGGAGGGGATCAGCAGGCCGGATGCAAGACGCGCGTCGAGTGGCGGCCTGGCGGCAGGAGTGCTCACGTCGTCCTCGTAGTCGTCGTCTTCATCGCCGTCGTCATCCTCGCCGTGACGGTCGGCGGCCGCCATCGCAGCAGCTGCAGCGGCCGAGCCAGCGCCAATGCCGGACCCGGATGGAGCCAACCCGAGCTCCTGCAGGACCGCCTTGGCCTTTTCGTACTCCCTCAGCAGCTCGCGGTCGTCGAAAGCGGCCGCGACGTCGTAGTTCATGTCCGGCTGCAGGTCCATGAGGTCGTCGGTGTCGTACGCGTCGTCGTCATCGTCGTCTTCATCATCATCGTCGTCGTCGTCGTCGTCGTCGTCGTCGTCGCCATGCTCTTCTTCGCCGCTCTTGGCAGCCTGCTGCTTGCCCTTGATCATTCTGCCATTGCGGCGGTCATCGTCCGAATCCGAGTCGGCGCCTTCGCCGCGGATGATCGGTACCTCGTCCTCGACCTCGTCTGCCTCGTCCCCTTCGCCTCCGCCCTCGTGCCGAGCAGATGGGTCGATCTCGTTGGTGCGAGCCTCCTCGTCGGCCGCATCGGCTGGCGCCGCATCAGCAGCGGCGAACCGGACGCGTCCCTCCCTCGGCTCATCGTCGCCCTCGGTGGGTCGTGCCAGCTTCTCGCCATCTGGCTCTGCGTCGGCCGCCGCCGATGTCCCCGCCGCTTCGACGCCCTGCCTGCGCTTTTCCATCCTCTCCGCGTACGCCTTCGAAGGACGTGCATGCGGGACGGCGGGCGGCAGGCCCATCTGCTCCCTCCGCTTCGACAAGTCGTCGTCTCCAAGGCTCGCACGGTCCAGGGCCGACATGCCCATCGATTGCGTCGGCGGCACCGTCTTCTGCGTCGGCGGCGGCGATTTCGACGCGGAAGCTGTGGCAGCCGCCTTGGTCCTCGGCGGGTTGACTGGCACAAACGTCGGCTTCGAGTTGAGGAAGCCGCGCCTGAATGCGCTCTGCTTGGCCTTCTGCACGTCGTTGGCCGCAGCAGGCTTGACCGTGGCACGCGGGGCGCTGCTGGGCTGTCGCTCGACGACCGTCTGTCCGAGCGCCGGCTTTTCAGCGAGCAGACGCTTCCGTTCTCGCTCGCGCTCCTCTTCTTCTCGCCGCTCCCGCTCCGCCACGGCCTCGGCCGTATGGGCGCGCTTGTCCTCGTCGTGCGCCCGCTGCAGCTGGTCGAGGACATCCTTGGCGGGCGCGCCCGGGTGGCCCTCGACGATGCCCGGGCCGAGCAGGTCGACGATCCTCGCCGCCTCCTCCTCGACGCCCACGTCGTCGGCATGGCGCTTCTCGGCGGTGTCGGCGCTGCTGCGGTGCAGGTTCTTCTCGTTGACCTTCTTGACCTCCCTCAGCGCTCGCTGCAGGGCCGAAAGGCTCTGGGCTGCGCCGTCCTCGTCCGCTTGGCGGGAGGATGCGGCGAGTGACGACGATCCGGGCTGCCGAAAGCGTTCGGGGCTCTGGATGCGCACCGTCTTCTTGGATGGCGTGCTGGCGCCGCTGCCGTTAACGCTCGAGTCGGCCGTGGCGCTTGACGTGCCGACCACCGTCTTGGCGAGGGCCTGAGGCGGCGCAGACGACCTGCCCTGCCTCTCGGCGCCGTCGAGGTCCTCGGCGGCAAAGTTGGAACGGATGGCTCCAGGGCTGGACGGGTTGAGGTTAAGGAAGCCGCGACAGATGCCGCTCGAACCAAACGACGGGCGCTGCTGGATGGGCGGACGCTCTGGGTTCTGCTTGAGCGCCGACTTTGGCGGCGGAGGGCGCGTGGCCGAACTGATCTCGGGCAGCGACGGGTGGGACGACTGGGTGGGCGAGTCGGGCGGCGTCGGTGTCGGCTGACGGAGCACGACACGGTTCTCCGAGGTCGGCGAGAGGGGCGAGGTGGGCAGCTCGCTGTCGCTGCCATCGTCCGAGGGTCGCCGCATCGCAGTGCGTTCGGACCGGCCTTCTCCTTCGTCTTCGCCGTCCTCGTCGTCTTCGTCCTCGTCCTCCTCGTCCTCGTCCTCCTCGTCCTCTTCTTGCTCCTCTTGTTCGAGCTTGCCGAAGATGTCGTCCATCCACTTTCGCCGCTCCTCCTTCGTCCTGGGTCCCTCTCTTCCGGGACGCTCAAAGGGGAGGACGACGCCGGGCGGCCGCGATGCCGTCGAAGCCGATGGGGCCTCGCTCGGTGCAGCTCCTGAAGAATGGCCATTGGCGCGGTGAGTGCTCTGAGGTGCCGCCCCATCGGCGGGCCTGAGTGGTGGCGAGTCTGGCACGGGCTCCATCGGTTCAAAGAATGGCAGCCCCTCCTCGTTGAGCACCTGGTTGTTTTCGTTGACGACGATGCCCTCTTTCTGACCGGGCAGGTCGTCGAAGCCCTCGACGTCCTTGAACGCGGCCTTGAGCTTTTGGCGGATGTTTTCGGTGGAGAGCGATGCGAGCCGTTGCCTCGCCGAGGCTGCCTGCTCCTCGTAGGCGGCCTTGGCGGACTCGAGGTCGGCGATGGCCTGTGCGATGGGCTTGCGCGCGAACGTCAGGGAGTGGCGGTGCAGCTTCTCGTCCTTGACGTCGAGCGCGAACGAGTCGCTTTCCGGCGGGATGGCGGTGAGGGCAGGCACCTTTGCTTCTCGCACCGCCTTGCTCGAGTCTGCTTTGCACGGTTGCCGGACATAGACGTGGCGTGCGTCTGCGACCGTGGCGGGCCAGAAGGCCAGGGGACCGAGCGGCTGCATGATGGTGTGCTGGGGAGCGTCCGGTCCCTGTTCTGCCATGACGGTGAGGTTCTCGAGCTGGAGGGCGACCCTGGCCGTGTTTGAGATCTGCTGCTCTAGGTTTGCCAGCTCGGCCTGCTGCTTGGCAGACGAGGCAGCTGCGGCATCGTCGGGCTGGTTGGCGGGGGCATTGTCACGGATCCTCTGGCGGTGCGCTTCCAGGAGCGCCTGTGCGGTTGCCGATATGTCGGTGTCCGATGGCAGCTGTGCTCTAGAAGACGAGAAGGAGGAGAAGGAGGAGGAGGAGTTTGGCGATGCGGCGGCCATGGTGGGTTGCGTTTGCGAATGCCCTCTAGGGGAATGGTGGGAGTGGGTGTCTGGCGTGTCTTGGGGAGTGGCGTGCGCTTATGCGGTGGCACGCATGTGTCGCCGTGCAGGACGGACGTGTGTTTGGCCTTGCTAGCTGCGCGGGTATCGAATCGGTGATGGCGTGGGCAGGGTCGTGTGATGGTGGTTGGCTCGATGGTAGGCAGAAGGAGGGTTGCATCTTCCCTCTCTGTCGCCTTTGCCTTTGGCCGGCGTCTGAAGAGTGACGGCCGTCTGTCGGCCAAAGTCGGACGGACGCTCGAAAAAGTCAAAAGGGGGGGAGGCCTCAAGTGGAGGTCGACCGACCAACCGCAAAGCGCGAAGAGACGCAAAGAAGCTGCAAAGAGGGCGACGCACGGTGATCACACACTACCCTGCCAACGCAACTCGATCCACCCACCGTCAACACCACCACCATCACCACCGCCGCACACCCACCTCTCACGACCACAACCACAATCACATCACTGCAGCAATGCCGGCAAAGGGTGAGCAACCAAGACGACTCCGCAGTCGACCCGTCGCACCACGGCCCTGACCCTGACCCGCCTCGCCTCGCCTCGCCTCGCCTCGCCTCGCCTCTCATCTCCGTCCCCCACGCCCTCCGGCACAGGAGGCAACGCCAAGAAAGAGTCTGGACGGGCAAAGAAGGCCGAGAACGAGTCCAAGAAGCAGGCCGAAGCCGCAGCAAAGGCAGAGGCCGCCGAGGCCGCCCAGTGGGAAAAGGGCGGCAAGGGCAAGTCGGCCGCCGACCTAAAGGCCGAAAAGGCTGCCGAGGCCGCCAGAAAGAAGGCCGAAAAGGCCGCCCTCGAGGCAGAGGACGAGGCCAACACGCCCAGCACCAACAAGGGATCCGGCAAAAAGGGGGCCAAGAAGCCCCCCGCCGTCAAGGGCGGCGCAGCGGGCCCGGGCATCGACGACGCCATCGCCAGCTTCACCGCAAGCAACCTCGACGACGCCCTCGACGCCATGACGCTCGTCAACGAGAAGAGCGACAGCGCATCGCGCGGCGCCGCCGCCGGCCAGATCGAGAGGCACCCAGAGAGGAGGTTCAAGGCCGCCTTCGAGGCCTACAAGGAGCGCGAGCTGCCCAGGATCAAGGAAGAGGTGCGTCACCCCCGTCGCCGGCGACAGAGGCTCGATCGTCGGCGCGACCCCAACGCGCGCGTGCTCACCTCTGACACACCCTCCTCCCTGCCTCCCTTGGACGTTTGCCCCGCCGCAGCACAAGGGACTGCGTCTGCAGCAGTACCACGATCTCCTGTACAAGCAGTTCCAGGTGCGTTTCGCGTCAGCCGGTGCCGTTTCTCGTTCGCGTCCCGGTCGAAGAGCGCGGTGCTGACGTCTCGCTCCTCCCCGCTCTGTCTCCCCTCTTGTGTCTCCGCCGCCTCGCAGAAACACCCGGACAACCCCTTCAACCAGCTCACGGTGTCGTACGACGCGTCCAAGGAGGAGAAGCTCGCAGCCCTCCAGTCCAAGCGCGACGCCACCGAAAAGCGACTCCGCGACTAGGCCGGCGCTCGGGGCGCCAACGCACGGGCATCCTCCTTCCATACCCTCGGACGAGGCCCTGGATCGCCTTGACTTGCCCTGCGTGGTTCCAAGGGGTTGTAGCTAGGTAGCTAGCCGGCCAACTGGACTCACCGTGCGATACGAGAGCAGCCGCGCCTCGACCGAAGCCGGGGCCGACCAGACTCTCGCGGCCAACTGGGGTGTCGCCTTGTCGCCGCCGCCTGTGGGGCGGAGTGTTGGAAGGTAACAGGTAACAATCACACGACGTGAAACACAGCGAGTCGCACGGGCAGCAGCGGCGACAGATGAACCATGCAAGAATCTCGTCCTCCGAGGTTGGCATTCTCTGACGAGCAGACGTCGACAAGGGAGCGGCAACGAGCGAAGGGGAGGTCCACGGGGGGCATAGGATGGTGGTGGGCATAATATGGCCGGTGAAGCATCTTGGCATGGCGGCCAGCCAGCGAGCGCGTCGAGGACGAGAGGGAGAGACGGGGGATGTGACCTAGCCCGCCCCAACTCGGCACGCCCCCAGGCTGGCAGGCAAGCCGCGCCGAACGCGCCCGTTTAGGCGGTCGGGGGCTTGGTGCCCTCCTCGAACATGAAGGTGAGCTTGCACTTGCCGCAGTACTGGCGGTTCTTGTGCCACGACATGAAGATGCCGGCGCCGCACTCGGGCGAGGGGCACTCGCGGCGAAGGCGCTTGACGTTGCCGTCGCCGTCAATCTTGTAGTACTTGAGGACGGCCATCTTGACCTTCTTGCGCTTGTGCTTGATCTTCTTGGGGGTGGTGTAGGTCTTCTTCTTCCTCTTCTTGGCACCACCACGCAGGCTGTCGGGCGAGGGAAAAGGGGAAGGGAGTGCCGGACGACACGGGTCAGCGAGGCGGGTCTCGTCGAAAAGAGGGGCAAGGAAGGCGACGAGACACGGCAGCACACCAGGGACACTCACCGAAGCACCAGGTGGAGGGTCGACTCCTTCTGGATGTTGTAGTCCGAAAGGGTGCGGCCGTCCTCGAGCTGCTTGCCGGCAAAGATCAGGCGCTGCTGGTCCGGGGGGATGCCCTCCTTGTCCTGGATCTTGGCCTTGACATTGTCGATCGTGTCCGAGGACTCGACCTCGAGGGTGATGGTCTTGCCCGTGAGGGTCTTGACAAAGATCTGCATCTTGAGTGCGGTTCTGCTAACCAGTGCGAAGTGGCGTCCTCTGCAGACAGGGGGGCGAGAGCGGCAGGCAGAGGGCGTCGCAAGAGGGTCAGATTCCGCACGTGGTCCTTGCCGCTACGACGGCGGTCCGGCGCATGCATCCGCAGCAGTCCGACGTCGACGCCATCGACACAACAACGGCGACGACGACGTGCGAAAGATGCCGGATGCGACGCTGCGACGAGCAAGGGGGTCGAAAACTCACTGCTGGGAACCGTGGAGAGAAGACGGAAAGAGCGAGGGAGCGCGCGCCCGTCTCAATTTGTAGTCTGGCCCTGACTCGCCGTCTCGCTGGCTGAAGGCTGGGCGGGCGGGTTGGCGGGGCGACGACGGGCGACTCTGGGACCTGAGCTCACGCCCCAGCCGACGAGCCGCGAAAATTTTCAAACCTGCATTTTCTGCTCTGCCTTCGGAACCGCGGGCGGTCCAGACTCTGTCCAGACCGCACGAGGAATCGGGATCGGGAAAGGGGAATGCGGACGGTCGGACGGACGAGCGGGCGGTCCGTGCCTGTCATCATCATCGAGCGCGGAAGCGGCGCGGCGGTTTGGGCGGGGCCAAGGCCAAGGGCCAAGGGCCAGCAAGCAGGGCTGCATGCCAGCTGCGCCATCTTTCGTCCTCCACCGCCACCCCACCGTGTCACACACACCGGCACCTTTCCCTCGCTCCCTCCTCTCCCTAGGACATCCTCCAGCTCGCCCGCACCGACCCCTCAACGCGCAGTCGCCGGCTTCCCCGAATATCTGCTGGAGATAGAGAGTGACTGCCGCCGCATCGAGCCGATCCCTCTCGCCGCCAACGACTCGCACCTCCGCAGCGCGCCGCTCGCCCGCCATGTCGTGGTTCTCGAACCAGTGGAACAAGTTCAACAGCACGCTCAACGGCGATGGTGCCAGGGGAGCCGATGGAGGACAGTCTTCCGGCGTCATCCGAAGGGTCGAGGTCGTCTGGGGCCGAGAGCGGTGAGTGTCCGCCGGCCGGCGCCTGGTCTCGCAGCCGCAGCTGCGGCATACAGGCAGGGTTACATGCTGAAGCTCGCCGTCGCCCCTTGCCCCAACCTCCACCGCCTTGCAACCCTTCTGTCGCCGTAACCCTCAGCATGCAGATCGTGCTGCCCAAGTTGACGACGCCCGTGACGCTCGGCCACCTCAAGCAGGAGATCTCGTCCATCACCTCGATCCCCTACGAGCAGGTCAAGCTGATCCACTCGGGCCTCATCCTCAAGGACGACCGCTCGGCGCTGGCGGCCTACGGCATCCGCGAAGGGTCGCGCCTGATCCTGGTCGGGACCGCGGGCGGAGCTCGCTCCGAGGGCGACAAGGTCGGCGCCAAGGCCCCCGCCCTCGGACCGCTCAGCGTCGGAGAGCAAAAGGCGCGCGCAAAGAAGCAAAAGGAGGCCGACACCAGCGAGGAGGGCCTCATGGCGCGCATCGACGAGGCGCTGGCCGAGTCCAGGACCAACCTCTTCCCCGAGGTCGAGCTGTTCGAGCGCAGCGTCAAGGCGTTGCCGGCTAGCGTGGAGGGCGCGGACGGTTCCCCCGCGCCGATACCGGATGCGGCGGCAGAGGCGGCGGCGCCAGGAGCTACGCCGACGTCGCACGGCGCCGACGCCGGAGCGACAAACGAAGGCGGATCGGCGAAGCTGATGACGCCGGCCGAGATCGCCAACTCGCACCGCAAGACGTCCGAGATGCTGCTGCGCCAGCTGCTCGCGCTCGACGGCGTCCAGGTCAACAGCGACACGACGAGAGCGGCGAGGAAGCAGGGCGTGCGCGACGTCCAGAGCCACCTCGACCGACTCGACGCGGCATGGAGCGAAGCAAAGGCCAAGGGCGTCAGGCCGCCAGCGTGATACCCCCGCAGTCGTCGTCGTCGTCGTCGTCGTCGTCGTCGTCGCGAACCCTTTGTACGGCGAGCGGCGGTTTGCGTTGAAGCATTCATAGAGCAGCGATACTTCAGCCTGTGTGGTGTCGCCTCGATTCTGCCGTGCCTTTCTCTGCGCTGATCCGTCAGAGGTAAGGCCTCGTTCCTGGCCTCGGGGCGGCTGCGAAGGGCGTGTAAGGACGCCATGCCGATGGAGGGGCCTCGTCCGTTTGTCCGTGCCGTTGGACAACAGACCATATAGGCTCCGACGCAAGCAATCGACGGCCGTGATGGAGGACATGGTTGAGAGGCAGAAAGAGGCAATAGCACCTACCGCCGAGCAGCGGCCGATGCCTTGTGCCTCTTCCTGCCTTGGTCCTGGGCTTTTCGACCCCATCCTACCAGTCCCAGAGCCGCCACGAGGCTGCCAGCTTACGAGCGGGGCTGTGTCGGTGAAGATGTGGCGAGAGCACAGGGAACGTCAGCCAACGTGCGTCAGTAATCTGTTTCCGCCCCGGGTGGCGACGGGGATGCAGTACGCCGTACGCCGAGTGGGGAGCCCGCAGAACGAAGCGGCACGGGGATGAGCTCGGCCAGAAACGCTCCCAGCTGCCTGAAACGAGGGCGATATGAAGTGCCCACTCGACGAGCGCGATAGACCTGCTTGCCTCACCGGAGAGATGGCGATGGCGATGGCGATGGCGGTGGCGATGGCGGCGTTCTTCGCCCCGACTTGCGGTCTTTGTAGGAAGGGTGTGGGACGCCGCGATCGAGGACGCCATCGAGGGACCCGTCGCACCTCTGCTTGAAGGCTTGCGCCCTTCGATGCCTGCCAGCTCGCCAGAGATAAAGGCGGCCGCAAATGCCAGCTACGGGGAATCGCCTGTCCGCCCCTCGGCACTCGTCTTGGCTGTTCGTCCCTCTCACCGTCGTTTATCCTTGACGCTCTTTCCAAGCCCCTCATCATCGAGCATAGTCCGGATGATGTCCTCCTTCCTGCCGGTCAGGATGGCCTGCATCGCCGCCTTCGTCCTCGCGTTCTCGAGCGCCGCCGAGGCGCTTCCTCTACCTCGCCGTGTCGATACCAGCGACATCCTGGCGGCGGGGAGCCCGTTCTGTGAGTCCAACCCCTCCGTCCAGCAGAGCATCCCCGCCCGTGCTGACTCGGGTCTGCCATGCTGGCCGTGTTTGTACATCCGCAGCGGTCGCTTTGGCCTCCGGCAACACCGTTCTGGTCAAGCGGCGTGGCGATGGCGCTGGCGCTGGCGATGATGCTGCCTGGGACGCCAATGAGCTCAGCTTTGCCAAGCGGGGTATCAGCTTCAGCTGGCTCGGAGAGCTGCTTGGCGGGATGTGCAGCTCCGGTTGCGCCAAGGTCGCCAAGGCCAGCGGCGCGAACAGAGTCGCCGACACCACTGAGGAGCGATTCTGGCGTGTGCCGCCGCCGATGGACACGCTAGACCCCTTCTACCCTCCCGCTCGTGGCAACCCTTACGGGTACAGGCCCGGTGGCGCCCCCATCGACCCGCCCAGCCGGAGGCCGAGTCTGCTTTCGTCACCGAGGGCAGCTTGATGAGTGCTGTGGCCCGTCCAGCCCAGCGGGCATCTCGAAGAGCAACGAATGGTCCGTCGCGATCGCGCTGCCCCCGTGGCCTGAGGGAGGAAGGAGTGTGCCTTTGGCGGCAAAGGCCTCTCGACTTGCCTCAGCTTTCAAGCCTATCCCTGCACGAAGCCAACTGCCTGCATCCCTTGCTGGCTGGCCGCTTGTGCGGACAAAGAGTCAGCGAGTTGATAGATGAGGAGAGAAAGAAAGCGGCGCGAGGAGGCGGCGCGGGAGAGCGACGCGCCGGAGAGGCCAGGCACGCCAGCACTCGGAGCCGAAAGTCGACCCGCCCAAGACATCGCTGGACGCAAGAATTTCAGGTTTTGCTGCAGCAAACACACTTTTAAGGTGATTTCCTGCTTAGTCCATGCGTCTGCCCATCACTGAGAACCAGACCTAGCAGATGATCAAGGTCAAATACAAATAGTCTTTCACAGGGCAGATGTGGAGATTTGTTGGGCAAAGTGTCAAAAACGCTCGGAAACCATCGGAAATCGACATTTTGCCCACACAAACTGCCTTCCAGGGCTCCGATCAGGCTGCTGCAAGCATCATTGCAAGCCTGAGGACCAGGACTAGCAGATGGGCAAGGTTGCAGAGTCTTTCACAGGGCAGGTGTGGAGATTTGTCGGGCAAAGTGCTGAAAACGCTCGGAAACCGTTGGAAATCGACATTTTGCCCACACAAACTGCCTTCCAGGGCTCTGATCAGGCTGCTGCAAGCATCATTGCAAGCCTGAGGACCAGGACTAGCAGATGGGCAAGGTTGCAGAGTCTTTCACTGGGCAGATGTGGACTTTTGTACGGTGCGTTCACATAGGGTTGACACTGTTTGCTTGAGTGAGCAGGGATGCAGCATTAGAGGTGGCAGCAATGCAGGAGGAGGAGAAGCCTGTTGAGCCGGACTCGAGGAAAGGATGGATTGCCAGCAACACGCGCCGAGTAGTCTGAGTTGAAGCGAGCAGCGGCGCAGGACCTCTGGCGCTCGCGAAGTGCAGGGAGGTGGTGCCGGATAGGACGATGTGAGATGCCATGGAGTGGCATGCCTGGGGTCCTGGAATGGAGGTGCCATTTCGTGTGATGTCGCCGAGAATGGCCGGCGCCTCGTGCGTGGTCGCGCGGCTATCGAACACGATGAAGGCCGCTGAAGCGCCTGGGGATGGGCAGTCGAAGGCATGGTGATGCTGGAGAGAGGGCGGCAAGGGAGAGCATGCACTCGCGGCCTGCACAGCTGCGCCGGGACGGATCGTCGCACCGCCGCCGCCGCCGAGCCGGAATCGCAACTGCCACGGGCACAGCACACACACACCGGCGTGCACACAGCGACAGGACCTGAATGAAGGAGGAAAGATGCTCGGATTACGCTGGTCGGCCCAGCAGCGGGACAGACAGCAGAGAGCAACGGCGGACTCGCAGTCGGCAGCGACTCGCGCCGACCGCGGCGCCACGCCCCGAGACCTCCCCCGGTCGCTCCAGGAGCGTTTTCAGCGCACGGAAACGGAAAGAACCGGCCGAGACGCTTAGTCGAAAAGACCGAATCCCATGTCGTCGTCCTGCGGATACGGGGATCGGAATGTACGTCAAGGAAGCAAGAGGTCAGTAAGGGATGACCGAGGCATGGTCGGGTCGATATCAGGTGGCGGAGCGGTAGCGCGGCGCGTTGGGAAAAAAGCCCGGCGCGTGCTGCTCATCGCCTCCACATCCGGCCCCCTCGACGATGCCCGCACCCTCGACAGTGTCGATGACGAGGACGACGACGACATGCGATGGAGCGACGATCGGCATCGAAGGATACGTTGCGAGCGGAGAGTGCTCGATGACGGGGGTGGGAAAGCGGGCGACACTCACGGACTCCTCCTTCTCCTCCTCCTTCTTCTCCTCCTTCTTCTCCTCGGCGGCACCACCGGCGGCGGCAGCAGCGCCACCAGCGGCAGCGGCGGGGGCAGCACCGCCGGCGGGGACGGAGGCGAGCTTCTCCTGGCCCTCGGCAATGAGCTGGTTAATGTCCTTGCCCTGGAGCTCGGAGATGAGCTTGTCGAGGCGCTCAGAGTCGGCCTCGATGCCGACAGTCTCGAGGAGAGACTTGATATCGGCGGCCGAGGGCGACTCCTTGCCGCCGAGAGTGAGGAGGAGGTAGGCTGCGATGTGCTTCATTTTGATGTCTTGATAAGGGGGGAGGTGGGAAATACCGGCCAGAAATCCGCGTGAGCTTTGATCCGTAAAGGAAGACTTGTGGACTGCAGAGCGGGCAGACAGGGCCGAGAGCCAGCGATGGTCAGAGACGAGGTCCCAAAGCGATGCTCCTCTGCAATGTCGTCCGCTCCGACCGGCCTTCGCGAAAGGCTGACCCAGCTCCATCGAGCGATGGCAACGGGAGCTCCTGATTGCGCCGCCGGCCAGCCATCGTCGATGCCGTCCACCGCGCAACAAAGCAGCCGTCCGCTACGCCAGCGCGGCGCCTCTTGCTGCCGGCGTCGGCCAGAGGTCCTCGTCGACTCACCAAGGTACTTTTGATGAACGGTTGTGGTCGGGAGGCAGACGGATGCCGCATCGGAATCTCGCAAAGTCTGGCGTGCGCGAGCCTCGGAGCGCGGGGGGCACACGCGGTGTTGCGGGCCAGACGCCTTTCTTCCGGAGCCGGGACATTTTGAAAATTCCCACGCGAATTCTTCGCACCACGCGTGGGCTCAGCGCAGCCACTCGGTCTACTTCTCGGGTGTTCCGTTTTCGGCAGCGAGCCTTGTACGGCGGCCAGCGCAAAGACTGAAGCCCATATTCCAGGCAGCGCCGCTCGCCCGCCCGCCAGCCAGCCAGGCCGAGCCAAACAGAAGCAGGTGGGCCCAGAGCCAGCCCAGCTCAGACAGAGTCCAGCCAAGCCCAGCGCAGCGCAACCCGGCAGCGAGCGAGCGACGCAGCCAGCCAGCCTGCCAGCCAGCCAAGTCGGCCCCAGAGCGAGCGTTGGTTGAAGCCAGCCGTCACGCCCTCGTCACCTCCTTCTCCCCTCACCATCAAGATTGCCCAAAATGTGAGTAGGGTACCCATGGCCGACCGCGCATTCGAGCGCACTCGACTCGACGACGACGGCGACGACGGCGACACCACTCCGGCCGCATCTCGACCGCCATCGCATCCGCAGCGCACCGTCTGGGCAGCGCCCGTCATACCTAGTCAGAGAGTGACGCATCGATGGACCAACGACTCCGACCTGGACGAGCATCGGCCGCGACAACGACAATCACTTCTGCGACCCGGCCAAACAGCGGTCGACCCGCCGACCTGTGCCGCCCTGTGCCGCAGCTACGGCTCATGATGCCACAGACCGACGACAGACCTGAGGACGGCTTCCGACACCCCCCGACGACGACGTCTCAGAGGCTTAGGAGGGATCGATGAGAACGGAGATGAAGGATTCGAGGCAGTGAGGAGATGGGATGTCGGCAGCCATCGCGATGGACATACGAAGGGACGGACGCCAGGAAGATTGGCCTTTCTGCGCCGCCCTCCGATCAGGTCGACATGCGACCCATTCTCCCCCCTTCTCTACCGCTGCCCGTACCCACCCGACTCCGACAGACAGATCGACCTACGACACTCTCTGACGATAGGCGCCCTGCTCTGCGCTGCGATGCGATGCTTCGAGATGCTGGCGGTGTCGCTTCACCCGGTCGCCGGACCCTCCGTCGAAGACACACGAGCCCGAGACTAATCTCCTCGCGCGTCCGTTCCGCACCACCCCACCGCTGCAGGGATGACTACGACGCCGCCGCCGCCGCTGAGCTCAAGAGGAAGCGAACTTTCCGCAAGTTCTCGTACCGTGGCATCGAGCTCGATGCCCTGCTCGACATGAGCAACGAGGACTTCATGAGCCTCGTCCACGCTCGTGCCCGCAGGAAGTTCCAGAGGGGCCTCAAGCGCAAGCCCATGGGCCTCATCAAGAAGCTCCGCAAGGCCAAGTCGGAGGCCGCTCCCAACGAGAAGCCCGCCACCGTCAAGACCCACCTGCGTGACATGATCGTCGTCCCCGAGATGATCGTGAGTAGGCGCCGAGAGGCTGGCCGTGACCCTAGCACCCTGCCTTGCCGCGGCGGCCCTGCTGACCTCGCCCTCGACGCTGTTTGCACCTCCTTGCCCTCTCTCCCTGCGCAGGGCTCCGTCGTCGGCATCTACAACGGTCGCTACTTTGTCAACACCGAGATCAAGCCCGAGATGCTCGGCCACTACCTCGGCGAGTTCTCGATGACCTACATCCCCACCCGCCACGGCGCCAAGGGCAAGGGTGCCACCGTCGACCGCTTCCTGCCCATCAGGTAAACGGCCGGCCGGCCACGTTGCCCCGCTTTCTGCCACGCCCTCTCCCTCTTGCACTCGTCGCGCGCCCAACTGTACAATTCTCATCGCATCGCCGGGCCGCCCACCCACACAGCGACACCCCCGAGCGCATGTACCCGGCTCCACCATGCCACTACTGCCACTCTCATCCTCTTCTTGACACCGCTGCGCGCGCGACTCGCGCGCGCGTGCGAGGTCGACCAAAACCTCGATGGGGGGCAAGCCTCTCTGCGCGACCCTGCTCCAGGGCGTCGCGGCGGGGCCCATTCCCAGGCATCGGCTTCCCACAAGCAGCGAAGCAATGCCACAAAAACCAAGCCACGATATGACCAGACCCTCGCCACGCCGCTGCCGCTTGCTTGCTTGCTTGCTTGCCTGCCCGATGGATAGCGAGGCAGCCGAAGGGGCAGTCCGTGCGTTCGTGCGTGCCAGACGGGGCGTCGTCGAGCGAGCGAGAGTGAGAGAGAGACAGACACAGAGACCGAGACAGAAAGAGGGGTCGAGGGAGGGAGCGCGCGACGTGTGGGCCGACGGGCCACCATGTGGACTCAGCACGCGGGAGCGCCAGGGTCACCGTGCAACCTCAAGCTGGCTGAGTTCCTCGCCTCACCGGGTCGGCCAGCCGGCTGTGCCGTGTGCCGCCGTGGTGACTGCTGACCGAGGTGGCCTTTGGCCTTGGTGCGACAAGGTCGAGTGGCGGGCCCGTGGGCCATACTGCGCGTCCTCATAGGTGCTGAAAGTCCAGCCTCGCGCACATGCTCTCACCCTACCTAGCCCACACCACCGCTCGCCACCGTGGCCATGCCTCGCCTGGTCGAGGCGACGGCTCAGCTCAGCTCAGCGCAGCAGGCGGCATCGCAGCGAAGCGATACCGGCAGCGTGACCCCCTTGCTCGGGGCGGAGGTCAGCTGGACGCCTTACCCAAGCCGGGAAGAAGGAGGCGGGGAGCGTGGGGGCGGCGGCAAGGGGGCGGCAAGGCGTCTGGCGCCCTCTCGTGCGAAACAGGCGGGCCTTTCGGGTGGAACCGCCGAGTGCCTGGGCGGCCAGGCTGCTGATGAGAGGTTAAACGGTGATTGGCCACGGCAATTCAAATCCCCCCCGTGCCCTCGCGGAGCGGCCGGGGGTAATACAGAGGGTTGTATTTGGGCAGCCTCCCCTCTGCTGATTTGAAATCTGCGACCGTCCGAACCGACCGACCGCCCGCCCGCCCGGTCGGTTCTTCTTGAAAGCGGGCCCTGCCTGGCCTACTGGCCTGGAGAAATTCGCTCTGGCGCGCGCCCGCCCGCCCGGCTGGCTCTTAGCAAGCAAGCAAGCAAGCAAACGGTCGGCGCCGAGCGGCTGGCTGGCTGGCTGCCTGGGAGGGAGATGGCCGCCCGCCCGCCTGCCGCTAGGCTGCTCGCGATCACACATAGCCACTCCCCTCGGCGCCGTCTCACATTCGTCGCCACCACCACCACCACCCTCCATCACCACCAAAACCCCTTCCTGGTCAGCGAGACCTCTTGTCAATATGGCCAACTTGTTCAACACCGCGCGAACCGCCTTCCGCGCCGCCGCCAACGGTACGGCCGCCTCGGTAGGTATCCTCGGTTCTTCTTGCCTCTTATCCAGCCGACTCGACTCGACCCGACCCAGCCAGGCTCGGTCTAGCTCCATCTCGACTTCGCCGCGCTCGACCCGACTCGACTCCGGCTTCCTTGAGCGACAATGACGGGCTTCCTCCGCGCATATCGACCGCTTCGCACGATGCTTGCTCGCCGGCCCTGTCCCCTGGCTTGCACGCCGTTCAGGTCCAAACCGGCAGAGATGCCAGTCTCGACCCACGCCTGCCGGAGTGATGTCGGCAAACGCCACCCCACGCAACGCCGGGGACAGCGTATCTTGCGAGACGCCACGCGTGTACACCTGCCGCTGTTGGAGCGCATGCTGGAGTATGGGCCGGTCCAGTCCATGCTTCACCATCGAGCGAGCTTCTTGGACCAGCGGTCAGCGTGGCCACTCGACATGGCCGCATGCCTGCCCTCTGGTGCGCCGGACGACGCCGGCTCGACTTCCGCACATGCACACGCTGTCGGGTTGAACCGCTGGCTATGGGACTGCGGCCACGGGGCGGACTGTCGCCGCCGGGTCATAGGCTTCGAACATGCGCCACCTCCCCCACAGTCGCAACCAAGGGCACCACTCTGACCCTTATCCTTCCTCCTCCCTCTCCACCGACTCCGCTCGACAACCACAGGTCCGCCAGGCTTCCACCCAGGCTGGCTCGAACGCGTCGCAGGTGAGTTACAGCAGACGGTCGCCCACTGCGTTGCCACCCGCCGGCTCCTCATGACTTTGGCCATCAGCGCTGACGCTCCTCGTCCCCATCCTTGCCGCCCTGCCCCGCGCCACTCGCAGTCGATGTTCGCCTCGCGCACGTCGGCCGTCGCCGCCACCGCCGTTGCCATCGGCTCCGTCGCCTGGTACAACCAGGTTTACGGCACGCTGCCCTTTGTCGACAGCGCGTCGGCCAACATGATCGACGAGGGCCTGCACCCGCCCAAGTACCCCTGGAGCCACTCGGGCCCCTTTGAGACCTTTGACCACCAGAGGTGAGTCTCGCCGCGGTCTGTCCGACACGTGCATCGCTGCCGCGAACGCACGCTGATTTCAGCCCTATGCCTTGCCTCCTTGCCCGCCCGCACCGTTTCTCTTCCTCTGCGACAGCATCCGCCGCGGTTACCAGGTCTACCGCGAGGTCTGCTCGTCTTGCCACTCCCTCGACCGCATCGCCTGGCGCAACCTGGTCGGCCAGTCGCACACGGTCGACGAGGTCAAGGCCATGGCCGAGGAGGTCGAGTACGAGGACGGCCCCGACGACGAGGGCGCCATGTTCCAGCGCCCCGGCAAGCTGGCCGACTACATGCCCAAGCCGTACGCCAACGACGAGGCGGCGCGTGCCGGCAACGCCGGTGCTCTGCCCCCGGACCTCAGCCTGATGGTCAAGGCGCGACACGGAGGCGCCGACTACATCTTCGCGCTGCTGACGGGCTACACTGACCCGCCGCCGGGCGTCAAGGTGCAGGAGGGCCTCAACTACAACTCGTACTTCCCCGGCACTCAGATCGCCATGGCGCGCGTGCTCTATGACGGTCTGGTCGACTACGAGGACGGCACCCCTGCAACGACGTCGCAGATGGCCAAGGACGTCGTCACCTTCCTCAGCTTCTGCGCCGAGCCCGAGCACGACGACCGGAAGCGCATGGGCATGCAGACCCTCATTATCCTCAGCAGCCTGACGGCGCTCTCGCTCTGGGTCAAGCGCTTCAAGTGGGCCTCGATCAAGAGCCGAAAGCTCGTCTACGACCCCCCAGCAAGCCACTGAGCGCGCACCCTTAGAAACTACCACCCTCCCGGTCTCGACGCCCGTGGATGGCGGCCGAGGACGGTCGAGGGCGAGGTTCGCTCGAGGGCGACGCCCGCTCGGGCTGCTTGATGCTTGATAGTTGGGTAGGCCCTCGTCCCTCTCTTTCTCTGCCGACCTGTGTCTAAAGCGAGCGATATCGTTGTCCCCGGACGCAATGCAAACACAAACCCACCAGATTCTGCAGAAATCCCAGGTCCCCACAGCGACGCCGTGTGGAAGCTGGACAAAAGGGGACAGGGCACGGCCAAAAAGCGACAGCCAGAAGGTTATTCGAAGATGCGGTTTCTTCGGCTTCGCTTCACGTGCGGGCGCTGCTGGCGCGTGGCAGCGGCGGCGGCCTTTGTGTTGGTCTCGGTCGGTCAGTCGGCCTGCTGAGGGGTTGCAGGCCGGTGCGTGTGTGTCTTTTTTTCCCCTCGTCAGTCTCTCCCCTGCCCCTCTCTCCTTGGGCAATCTCGACTCGTCTCTTCCTTTCTCCGCCATCCTACGCTGCTTAGCCATCCTCCTTCGAGCGCGGGCTAAAGCAAGCTCTCCATAGACCGGCACCACACCAGATTCGGCACATACCCGCCGCCGCCACCGCAGCCGCAGCCGCCACATACCCATCTGCTCTTCAACGCATCCTCGCTCAGACTCGCCTGCTTTATTTCCGTCATCACTTCACGCACCTTTCAAGCCTGCATACCTATCTCATCTCTACCTGGACCGCTCTGATCATCGCCTCTGCGTTCAACAGGAGCGCGGAAATAGGCCGAGGACCCCCTGCGGCCACCGAGGGGCATGGCATCCCTCGCCTCATACCCTCACGACGTGGCTGCAAGCCCGTGCTCTCCGCAATCCTACTCTACCTTGTCTCCCGCCAGCCGTCTTCGCGCCGCCGCAGCAGCAGGGGCGAGGGCCAACCCGGAAGAGAAGCCGCTGCCGGGCAACACGTCGCTCAACCACAACTACCGCTCGCCCTCGCGATCGCCCTCGACCAGGATCCTGGCCGGCAGCCCCGGTACGCCCACCCGCCGCGCGGCTACGCGGATCAGGGAGGCCGTCAGCCTCGAAGATCTCCGAGAGGACGAACAGCGTGCTCCCTCGTCTCGGCCCAGCGCTTCCGCCCCACGACCCCTGTTTATGCCGACACCCCGTCGAGGTGCGACCAAGCCGACGCCCTACCCTTCCCTCGCACACATCCCCGAGCCCAGCCTGGCGCCTCCCCTCGCAGATCTAAGTGCCGGCCAGACCAGCATGGAGCGCTACACCCACTCTCCTACCAAGCCGTTCGCCTCGAGCCAGGCCGCTAACGCCGAGCAAGCGCAGGCGCCGCCGGGCGAAGGCTTCAGCCCAGCCAAGAGATCGCTCCGCTCGTCTGCCTCGGCCGCCAGGCCAACCAGAGATGCAGGCCTCGAGAATGCCCCGCAACGGACGCTCCGCTCGACGGCCAGCAGGGCGCACATGGCAGCGGCGTCGACGGCGATGACCTCGCTTGCCCCTGGCACGCCCGCTTCGCACGCATCGATGCGGGCCAGCACGGTCGCGGCCTCGTCTTTTGAGCGCGCCGAGGATCTGCAAAGCGGACGAGCATCGCCCGAACGGCAAAGCAGCTCAGTCAGCAAGCCTAGGGCCAAGGTGACTGAAGGCGTCGGATCGAGGCTGCGCTCGGTCAACAAGCCAAGCAACCAGCGGTCCACGATCGCCTCGTCGACGGCCTCTCCCGAGAAGCGCGGCCTCGGGATCAGCATGGGGCTAGTCGGCTCGCAGCATCCAGAGAGGCACCGTGCAAGGGACGGGCCGCTATCGCCGGCGAGCTTCGACCTCGACGAGGAGCTCGCAGATAGCTCGTTCGTGTACGCCGATCCAGAGGATCCCGACGGCGAATCGCTGGGCCTGTCCAACAACCCTCGGGATGGCAGCGCCGACGAGAGGCACGAGAGCGTCATGGTCCACGTCCGGTGAGTGTAGGCCGGCCAACGCAACACGGCGCAGATCCGCCCGACCTAGACGCTGACCTTGCCTTGACACCACTTTCTGACTTCCTGCCCGTCCCCGACGACTCGCTCCCCCCAGCCTGCGACCACCGAAGCCCGGCGAAAAGTGCGCGTGGATCCCCAGCTCGGTCAACGGTTCTCTGTCGCTGGAGCCGACGCTGGCCTCGCAGCGGGTGCAGCAGGGCGCGGCGGGCCCTTTCAGCTTCGACGGCCTGCTGACCGGCAGCGCCAATCGGCCCGTCTACATCTCGGTGGCGCGGCCGCTGGTCCGCTCCGCGCTCGATGGCTACGATGCCGTCGTTTTCGCCTATGGCCAGACGGCGAGCGGCAAGACGTTCACGCTGAGCGGCGACGAGCGCGGCGAGGAGCAGGGCATCATCCCGCGCGCCGTGCGCGACATCTTCCGCGGCATCCGGCAGAGCTCGGCGCGGCGCGAGTATCTGCTGCGGGCGAGCTACCTCGAGATCTGGAACGAAAACGTCAAGGACCTGCTCGAGCCGACCAACGTGCCGCAGGTGCGCGACGACCGGCGCAAGGGGGGCAAGGGCACGTTCGTCCACCCGCTGCGCGAGGAGATTGTCACGTCGCCCGGCCAGGTGCGCGAGCTGCTGGCGCGCGGCCAGGCCAACCGCCACGTCGGCGCCACCGACTGGAACGAGCGTTCCAGCCGCTCGCACACCTGCTTCAAGGTGACGATCGAGAGCTGGGAGCGCGGTCCGGACTCGGCCGGTAGCGTCTTTGGCGATAGCGGCGGCGGCGGTGGCGGCGATGACAGCGCCTACCTGACGATGCCGGCCGCCGACGCGTCATCGAGGCTCGGGAGAAAGGTGCGCGTGAGCGAGCTGTGCCTGATCGACCTGGCGGGCTCCGAAAAGTACGTCTCGCAGGGCTCGGATCGCCGCGCCGAGGGGGCGCACATCAACAAGAGCCTCCTGACCCTGGGCAAGGTCATCTTTGCGCTGTCGGAGAAGACGGCGCGGGCCAACGCCAGCAGCGCCCACGTCCCCTACCGCGACTCGAAGCTAACGCGGATCCTGCAAAACAGCCTCAGCGGCAACGCGCGGGTGGCGGTGGTGTGCACCATCAACCCGAGCCCGTCGGCGGTCGACGAGAGCCTCAGCACGCTCAACTTTGCCAAGCGGGTCAAGAAGGTCAGCCTCCACGCGCGGCGCAACGAGATCGAGGGCGACGCGGCCGGGCTCGGCGGCGCCGAGGCGCAGGCGCTCATCATGCGCTACCGCGACGAGGCCATGGCGCTGCGCAAAAAGGTCGCCGAGCTGCAGAGCGGTGCGGCCACGCCGCGGATCGACGACGACCGGATGCGCCAGCTTCTGGACCGCCTCGACGCCATCGGCGGCCTAGTCGTCCGGGGTGGGGCGTCGACGGCGAAGACGACGGCAGTGACGGCGGTGAGGGCTGCGACGACAGCGACGACGATGATGACGGCAGCGGCGAGTTTGACGGTGCGCCCGGAGGCGAGCAAAGGACTGCTCGACCAGTCTCGCCGGTGCGCAGGGCGCGCCACAACCACCTTGCCTTTTCTGACCCGCCGCACGTGCTGCAGGAGAAGCTCTACAACGCCAACACGAGGATCGCGAGCCTGCAGCGCAAGCTTGCCTCGCGGCCGTCGCTGCCGGCGTCGTGCACCAGCGAGGCGGACAAGGACGCGCTCATCGGGCAGCTGCAGCAACAGATCCGCGAGCTCGAGATGGTGTGCGAGGCCCAGGCCGCCGATGCGCCGCCCAAGATCCGCGAAGACGTCGAGCGCGAGTGGCGCGACCGCACCGATGCGCTCGAGGAGCGGCTGCGCGAGCGCGAACGCTTCGTCGAGGAGATGAGCAAGGAGCTCGAGCGGCTGAGGCGAGTGAGTAGTGCCAGTCGCGCGTGCAGCAGCAGTGGCCAGGCCGGCCCCGCCTGGCCTGGTCTGGCTTCGACTCGATCCCCCCCGCGCGCTGCGTTCTGACCCAACCAACGTCCTGGCATCTCGTCCCCCCTCTGTCTGGATCGCGCTCGACCGCAGGCCAACAAGCAGCTCATCCGACTGGCGCACAACGAGACGGCGGCCATGGTCGCTCAGCTGCAGTCGCCGCACGCCCAGCCGGCGTCGCGCTCCAAGCTCCATCCTCCTCTGAACCAGCACCAGCACCAGCACCAGCGTCACCACCAGCAGCGCCTGGGCCAGGCCCGGCCCGTGTCGGTGCTGGGGGCGACCGAGATGGAGGCGTGGCGGGAAGCGTACGCCGCGTCGATGCCGATGGCCGCGTCTTCTGCGACGGCGAGCCCGGCCATGACGAGCGACTCGCGCTGCGCCACGCCCACGGCCGCCACACCGGGACCCAACCGGTACCTGCGAGCGCCCAACCGGTTCCGACCGCGGAGGTCGATCAGCCACGACGGCGGCCTGCTGCATGCGGGCCTCCAGAGCGTCGAGCGCGAGCTTGGTCGCATCTAAGGTCGACCTGCGAACCTGCGACCTCCCGACTCGGCCTGGCCTAGCCTAGCCTGCTGCGACACACCCGAGGACTTGCCTGCTTGCTCCGTCTGCCTACCAGCCTGCCACGTAGTTTGCCTGCTTCGCCCTGGCAGATACCTAGCCTACCATATCACTCTGACTGACGCGCCCGCAGCGCAAGCAGTCGGCTGCCTATCGAATCAATCAGACGATGTCGTTGCCTGCTCCACCGCCGCCGCGGTCTGTTGTGGACCTCGGTGCTCGCGAGGGATCGCCTAGCTCTGCCATCCGAGAGGAGTGGGCTCGCGAGCGAGGTGAGTACGTCGCCGCCAAGACGGCCACGGCCGGTGCCGAAACCTTGCTTGGCACGACGCGGGGCCCGCGATCTGGCTAGCGATATCTCGCAGCAGCCACGAAGATGCGGTACCGACAGGTAGCGGCCTTGGCGATCGACGGACGGTGGTGGCGACGGCGGCGACGACGACGCCGAGGAACGACGATCGCCGTCTGTTCCGCAAGCTTCCGAAAGCGGGGGAGCGGGGGAGATGAGGTGAGATGAGATCAGACGACCTGGGTGTGTGAGCGGGCCGACGGGGATCGCCAAGAGCCAAGCCAGGCCAAGCCAAACAAGAGGCCAGATTGGCAGCCATGCGTGCGTACGAGCTCCTGCCTGCCGCAAACTACCGCTATCGCTGACTCGAGAGGTGGACGCGTGCGCCGACGGCGTGGTTCGGGGACGACGCATCGGTACCGATACCGTACCGGTACGGTACGCGGTACGGTCGGTAGGCCAGGCGGTGCTGGACGGATGTTTGGCCCACGCCCGCCAACCGAGGCGCAGCTTGCCCTCATGCAAGATAAGGAGGCAGGCAGGCCCGCAGACAGGCAGGCGAGCGAGCCAGCGAGCGAGATGGGACCAAGGGCCCGAGGGACGCGTTCTGATTGGTCGAGATTGGGCGAGCCCCTGGTCGCATGGCAGTCCGGCTCCACCTTGCTTGCTCGCTTGCTTATCGTCGCGGGTGGTCTCGAGCCTAGCCTGCTCAGCCTACTCTGTATGCTCATCCGGGTCGGTCCGCTGGGTGGGGTCAGCGAGCGATAAGCAAGCCAGCCCGGTGATGCCAGCCAGCGTCGGCTCACCCGCCTGGCCCGAAAGCTACCGGTAGCTTGGTCCTCTGCTGCCTCCCGTATAAGATGGCAAAGGAAGGTTGGATGGACGCCAAGCCCTCGCTAACCACGGCGCTTGGCCTTTCCCCATCGCTCGCCGTCGCCCGTCGTCGGTGGCCGCCAATTCGTGAACGAAACCATGAGCGAGGCGGTGACGACGAGCGACGGCAGCGGCGACGGCGACGGCGACGGCGACGGCGGCCATCGAAAATGGCGCGTTGTGATTGGTCGATAAAACCTGAAAAACGAAAATGGCCCGACCCACAGGCAGGCCGAAGCCCGTCGCCCCTCTGCTGGCTTGCCAGGCAGGCAGGCGGGCGGCGGCTGCGACGCTGGCTCGAGAGATAAGCAAGGACGGGCAGGCAGGCCGTTTCTGGATGCGGCGTCTGCCTGCCTGCATCTCGCCCTCGCCCCCCGCGCCGGTTGCTTTGTCCACTCTTGCTTTCCGCTTTGCACACAACGAACGAGTCAAGCTAGGGTTGGCCGGCCAGCATGCGATGGCAAGCAGACCAAAAACACAGGCAACGCATCGCATGGCGTGAAAGCCGGGCGATCGCTGGCTGTTTGCAAACGTACGGTACGGTGGAAGCCAGATGGCAGATCGAGCAAAAGGAACGTACGGCGAGGTTGAGCCAAGGCAGCGCCGAGGCAGACAGGCTAGGCTAGGCGGGCGGGCGTGCCGGCGGTTGGCGGTTGGCGGCTCACGGATGGACGGGCTGGAAACTGCACACGACGTCAAGGGCAGGCAGGCCAGCCGGGCGCGCCTGCCTTGTCGCCTTTGACACACAACCACGTCCGCCTGCACCCAGGCTCAGACAGACAGAGGCCCCACCCCGTCGTCCTGGTCGCCCTCGACGTCGTCGTCGTCCTCGTTGGCCGCTGCAAGTCCGCCCGCTCTGTGTTGGCTCGGTTGGTGGTTTGAAAACAGCACGCCGCACGCTTGCAGCCTGCCGGCCTGCCTGCCTGCCTGGCCTGCCTGGCATTCCGGATGGGCCGACGACTGCCCTTCCCCACCTTGGTCCCCTCCTCGCCTCCAATCCAGAGCCCGACTGTGGCCGGGGGGCAGTATCTGCCGCCGCCGCCGCCGCCGCCGACCAAGACCAAGACCACGGACGACGACCGACGACGAGTCAGCTTCTTGGCGGGCTGCCTGGCTGATACAAAACCATCACCCTGGCCAGCCTTGCTTCCGTTGGTCGCCCTCCTCAGCCCCCCGTCCATTCTTCTCACCACGACCACCGTCCGACCCCGCCGGCTCGTTCCTTCTCCCCCATCCGCACACGGCCAGTCCCTTGGCTCCGGCAAACTCCTTCCTCACCACCACCACCACCACCACCACCACCACTACCACCGCCGCCATCTTCTTTCGCGGTGCCTGCCTTTTTGACCTCGTAGCCACATTTCTGACGCCGCGAAGCTAGACAGGAAACCTTTGCCCGCCGCGAGCAAAGACTACCGCTCGCACGTCGCAGGCAGGCCGTAGCCACATCCACCACCGGCCCGACTCGGATCGAAACCTCGGCATCGCCGCCCGCCTCCTTGCTAGAGACGACGTCTTCGCCGCCCCACCTGCCACCATGGTCAACATCACCTACGGCATCCTCGACGCGCCCGACGGCACCGTCGCCGGCTCCGTCAACCAGGCGCCCGGCGGCACCGACATCATCGTCACCTACGGGCCCGGCCGCTCCCAGGTGGCCGCCTACAGCCCGGGCGACATCTCCTGGGTCCTCACCTCGTCGGCCCTCGTCTGGATCATGATCCCTGGCCTCGGCTACCTCTACTCGGGCCTCGCCCGCCGCAAGAACGCGCTCCACCTCCTCCTCCTCACCCTCGCCGCCCTCGCCGTCGTCAGCTTCCAGTGGTTCTTCTTTGGCTACTCGCTCGCCTTTAGCCAGACGTCGGGCACCTTTATCGGCAACATGCGCAACTTTGGCTTCATGAACGTCCTCCAGGACCCCATGCCGCAGACCAACAACAAGATCCCCGAGATCGTCTACGCCCTCTACCAGTGCATGTTTGCCAACCTGGTCCCCGCCATCGCCATCGGAGCCGCGTGCGAGCGCGGCCGCGTGTGGCCCTTCCTCGTCTTCACCTTTGTCTGGACAACGCTCGTGTACGACGTCATCGCCTGCTGGATCTGGAACCCCACCGGCTGGGCCTTCAAGTGGGGCGTCCTCGACTTTGCCGGCGGCGGACCGGTCGAGATCAACTCGGGAATCACGGGCCTCGTCATCTCCTACTACCTCGGCCCGCGCCACGGCTACGGCACCGAGCGCCTCCTCTTCAAGCCCCACAACGTGTCGCACATTGTGCTCGGCACCGTCTTCCTCTGGGTCGGGTGGCTCGGCTTCAACGGCGGCTCCACGTTCGCCGCCAACATCCGCGCCGCCATGGCCATGGCCACCACCAACCTCGCCGCCGCCTCGGGCGCCCTCACCTGGATGTTCCTCGACTTCCGCCTCGAGCGCAAGTGGTCGGTCGTCGGCTTCTGCACCGGCGCCATTGCCGGCCTCGTCGCCATCACGCCCGCCGCCGGCTTCGTCGGCATGCCCGCCGCCCTCCTCATCGGCGTCGTCTCGGCCGCCGTCTCCAACTTTGCCACCGTCCTCAAGGGCCCCATGCGCGTCGACGACGTCATGGATATTTTCTCGGTCCACGCCCTCGCCGGCTACGTCGGCACCCTCCTCACCGGCATCTTTGCCCAGGCCTCGGTCGCCAACAACGACGGCATCGCCGAGATCCCCGGCGGCTGGCTCGACGGCAACTGGATCCAGCTGCCCTACCAGATCGCCTGGTGCACCGCCGTCACGGCGTGGTGCGGCGGCATCACCTTCCTCATCATGTTTGTCCTCGACCACACGCCCTACATTGGGCCCTTCCGCGCCAGCGAGACGGGCGAGATCCTCGGCGTCGACGAGGACCAGATTGGCGAGTGGGCCTACGACTACGCCTACGTCAACCGCAGCATCGAGGAGGGCGACGTGCGGCCCAACCACGGCCTCTCGCTCAACATGAACGAAAAGGTCACGGACCTGCAGAAGCAGTCGTCGACGAGCTACTACCCGGACTCGTCGGCGTCGCAGGACGCCGCCGCAGCAGAGGCATCGTCGGCGGCCGCAGCGCCGTCCCAACAGCAGCAGCAGCAGCACCTGGCACCAACGCAGACGTCGACGCTCGAGACGGAAAACGCCTCATCGTATCCTCCGAGCAGCCGGCATCCCGCCGCCGAGGCCTCGACAGCCACCCAGGCATAGCTTCGGCCACCCCGCGATCCTCTTTTATCGGCCAACACGCGTCAACATCCCCCGCCTCCTCGATCCCCCCCTCGGCCCATGTACATACCCTCGCGGAGGAGCCGGATGCCGCCGGGCCGCTCGGCCGATCCGCTCTGCACCAGCAACGATCTCCTCTTCTCCCACTCTATCTTATCGACGAACCGGGCTCCCTGGCTTCTTCACATGTGTACGATTAATCATCACGTTCCACGACCCGCCACTGACCTGGCGGCCAGCTTATGAAAAACGACGCGGGGAGGGGGCCTCGCAGCGCAGCACGCGCCTGCTGGGGCCCGCCGACCCCCATCACCATCACGCATTCCTCTCTCGGTTCGACGTCCGGCATCGCGCGGGGTGCTATGCCAGCCTGGCCTTGACGTCTTCGGCTTTCGGGATCGAGCGCATGGCCCCGACCGTCTCGCAGGCGACGCTGGCGGCCATGCATGCCCAGGTGAGTACGCGGTTGACATGGTCGTCGGACTTTGCGGCGGCTGACGCTTGCTGGGTTGCGCTCTCGACGTCATCGCCGTCGGCGTTGCGTGCCGCCGACTCGGAGAGGTTGACGCCCATGAGGGCGGCGACGAGGTTGCCGGCGAACGTGTCGCCCGCTCCCGTCGTGTCGCGCACCTGCCTCGGCTTGGGCGAGGGCAGGCTGAAGAAGGTGCGCTGCGCGGGCGATGCGGCGGGGGCGACCTGGATGCGGGCCATGACGCCGCGCGAGCCGCGGGTGAGGACGATCCAGGCCGTGTGCTTGAGCGCCTCGAGGTCGGCGAGGGCATCGACGACGCGGCGGGAGCGCTCATCGGATCCCTGGACCAGGTCCGAGGGGACGGCATCGGCGCCGCGGGCGTCGAGGGCGTTTAGCAGCTCGGACCCCTCGCCCTCGTTGACGATGAGGACGTCGATGGCCGACCACGGGAAGCTGCGCAGCTCGTCGGGCGTCGGCATGGGGCTCGGGTTGAAGATGGACGTGATGCGGGGCGCCTGGCCGCCGCTCCGGGTCCTCTGGGCGTATTCGAGGAACGCGGTGGTGACGGCGAGGGGGATCTCGTTGTGCACGACGAGGTGGGTGATGAGCCTGGGGGCCGAGCTGAAGACCGTCTCTGGGTCCGACGTGCTCGACGACGTGGCGTAGTTTGCGCCCTTGAGGAGCACGATCGAGTTTTCGCCATCGGCGGCGATCTGGATAAAGGCGCGGCCGGTGGGCTGGTCCTTGAGCGTCTCGACGCCATCAATGTCGACGCCGCGGCAGGCGAGCTCGTCGAGGGGCCACGGGGCGTCGCTCCCGACGGCGCCCGAGAAGCGGACGGGTGCGCCGGCCAGAGCGATGGCGGCGCTCACGTTGGCGCCCTTGCCGCCGGGGCGCGACGTGAGGCCGGTCGACGAGAGGGTCTCTCCCGGCGCGACAATATGGGGCACGTCGAACGTCTCGTCGACATTGATGCTGCTCTTGACGAGGCAGAAGGGCGCGCTGTTGCTGCTGCTGCTACTGCTCGATGCCATGGCGGGATGAGATGGGGCTGGATCGGGTGAAAGCTCGAAGCTGGGTGGATGGTGAGATGGTCTTCGGCGTCGGAGAGCAGACGAGCGCGACGAGCAATAATGATGGTTTGAAGACGAGGGACAGAAGACGAGGGAGAGAAGTCGAGGGTCAGAAGACGAGGGTCAGAAGACTAGGGACAGAAGCGCTGCGAGGACGATCCCGGGCCAACCCAAATTCGCCGGCGGCCCACAGATCGGCTGCGAGATGCGCTCATCGGGTGGCAGCAGCCAGCTGCAGCGCCAAAGTAGGGCCGCGGCCGGAGTCTCGCCAGCCGCCAGTCAGGTCCAGCTCTCGGCTCCGAGGTGCTCAGCTCGAGCAAAGTGGAGCAAGCCGCCTTGGCCCCGCCCCGCGAGCTGCAAGCTCCTTCTCACCCCTCCATCATAGCCAGGCCTCCGCGCCTTTGCCCATCTCTTTGTTTCCTTCCCACCTCACCGATTGACGGCCATGGACACGCCACCGCAACATCTCATCTGACGCTCAAAACGATCGCGACGCTCAAAAGCATCCCGACGCCCAGAGGACCGCCGGACGCTGCTGACGTCGCCCACGCCGCACCATGGTGCCGCTGCAGAACCCCGCAGTCTCGGGCCTTTCGACCGTTCCCGCCTCTACCGCGAGCAGCTCCTCGCTCAACACCGCCGCAGCAGCACCCATCACGCAGACGCTCAGCTACCTACCTTACTTCACCGCAGGCCAGCTCGAGTCGCTGTACGCCAAGCAGCGCGGAAACAAGCTCGCAGAGTCGAAATGGCACTCTAACCGCAACATCGCAACCGGCTTCATCCAGGCCGTCGCCTCCAGGCTCGGGTTGTGAGCATCCCTTTTCCAGATCAAACCTCGAATGGTGACAAAGGCTGAAGATGCTGACTCTGAGCTGTCTCCCTGATCGATCGTATTCACCCACCACAGCCCCCAGCGCACTACGGCCACGGCGCAGCTCACCTACCAGCGCTTCCACCTCTTCTACCCGCCCAGCGACTTTGTCCTCCACGAGGTGGCGCTGGCCTCGCTCGTCCTGGCCGCCAAGCTCAACGACACGCCGAAAAAGGCTCGCGATATTCTGCTGGCCAGCTACGCCTTCCGCTTCCCCGAGCTCGTAAAGGGCGACGACGACCCAGCAGCCGGCCCCAGCAGCGGCGCATCGCTCTCCGCGGCCGCCGCTGTGGCCGGCACCAAGCGCAAGGCGCCGCCTTCGTCCCGTTCCGCCGACCCCGCATCGGCGCTGGCCTCGACCAGCGCCATCGGCACCGTCTCTGAGACCGACATTGATCCCGCCGTTCTCGAGACGGATCGCAAGCGCATCATGGCGCTCGAAAAGCTGCTCCTCGAGAGCATCTGCTTCAACTTCCAGCTGTGCGCACCCTCGACGCTTGCCCTCGTCGTCAAGCTCTGCCGACGCTGGTCGCTGCCCAGGTGCCTGGCCAGGACCGCGTGGAGGGTGGCCGCCGACCTCTTCCGCACACCTGCACCGCTCCAGCACCCGCCCCACGTCATCGCCAGCGCCAGCGTGTATGCAGCTGCCCTGCTCGCGGTGCCTCCATCGTCGCCGGCGCAGCCGTCACCTGCACATCCACCCGCCCAGAATGGGGTCAGCCAGGATCCTCGAGTGATACCCGACAAGGCCCAGTCGCTCGAGGAGGCGGCTCGCGGCGTCGTGCAGCGTTTCAGCCGAGCCGCTTGGCCCCCCGTTGAGAGTGCGACAGCGACGGCGAGCACAGAAGAGACCGCTGCACCGCGTACGACAGAGCACAGCAGCTTGGAGAGGGAGCTCAAATGCCATGTCGAGGATGTCGAAGGTGAGTCTGAGTGGGCCGTCGACTGATGCGGATGCACGGAAGCAGCCTCTGACACGACAGCCCTCTCACCTCGCCGTCTTTGCCTGCACAGAGGCGATCCATGACCTACTGGACCTCTACCTCCAACAGACCAGCCTGCTTCCGTCTTCGCTGTTTGCGCCGTCTCGGAATCCCGCCCCTTCAGCCTCGTCAGCCACACCTTCGCCGCAGTCGCCTGCCGACCACCTGAGCGACCTGCTGAGCTCCTCGCCATCCTCGCCGTCCGACCTGACCGCATCCCTGGCAGCTGGCGGCGGCGGTCCTGGCGGTGCGGCAGGCCGCGGCGGGCGCAAGAAGCTGCGGCAGCACGAGTTTTCGCCGCCCCCACTCGCCCTCCTCGACTGGCTCAACACGTACCGATACAAGATGATCCGGTCCAAGGCGTCCAGGGCGGCGGCAGCAGCAGCAGCAGCAGCAGCAGCAGGAACGACGACGACGAAGCAGGCCAGCAGCGGCGGCGGCAGCAGCGGTGGCGGCGGCGGTGGGCCACAGACGCAGGCGGCCGCCAAGCAGGCACCTCCGGCTTCGGCCACGAGCAAGATGACGAGCGTGCTGACCGACCTCAAGATCTACCTGCGCCAGATTGAGTACGACCGGCAAAAGGCCGACGACGCCTACCTCTTGTCGCGCGGCTACGCAGCAGAGACCGTTTACCCGCCTTTGGCGCCGCCAGTTGCACCCTCCGGCACCACCGCCACCACCACCATGGGCGGCCCCGTCGCTGCGCCAAGTTCCGGCTACGGGGGATCCACGAGTGCCGGTAGCGCCGTACCAGTGCAGGCCGATGCGACGCCGCCCTTCTTGCAGGTCGTACTCAGACGAGTCGGCGATGCCACGGCCAACGCCGCCGCCGCCGCCGGAACCAGATTGGACGACGGGCAAGAGGCGACAGCGACGTCGACGGCGACGGCGACGAGATGGATGGAGAGGATCAAAAGGAGGAAGTACGTCGCTACCAACCGCATCTTGCCGCTCCCTGTCGCCGCTGGAAGCGTGGTCCAGCCTCCGCCGCCACAGCAGCTGCAGCTGCAGCAGCAGCAGGCGGTCACTCCGGTCGTGGAAGGTCTTATCACCCAGGCCACGCGCTACCTCTTCTAGCATCTCGAGTTGCGAGGAGAGAGAGAGGGCAGCGCCAGACACGCACAGCAGCCGCGCACACTCGACGCGCACGCCGGCCCAGCCCAGCCTCAGTCCCGGCTCGAGAGGACATCGACGATCAGAACAACCAATTCGACATTGCATCAACGCCAACGACAACAGCCCTCAGCAACCACAAAAGCATCGACGACGACAAACGACGACAAACGACGACGATTCGAGAAACGGCGAGGAAGGAGGGGCGTGAGACTGCCAAGGC